GCTCTTAAGTGAAATCATTAATTCTTTTCAGAGCTAGGCTGTCCTCAATCACTATAATAACCTGAGTCAGAGCCATTAGTGCTCAGCTGAAGAACCTTTATGTCAGCCTTCTCACCCCTCAGTGTTGGGAAGGGGTAAAGGAATACTTAGTTGTAATTCTCCGTTTGAATTCTTATAGACCAGACAAGGTCCTAAAGACTTAATAAATTAGTTTTAAGAAAACTTTAGATAGATCATTTCTAATTTTATGTCTAAAACGAAAATTATATGCATTCCTACACAATCTTGACCACTTAAACTCACTGGCCTCTTTATATCTCTTCCCACACTTGCAAGTAAGTTCCAGTACTCCTTAGTAAGTTAAAAAAAATACAGTCAGGGGAAGGAGAGATGAATTAGGGGTTAAGAGCACTTGCTGCTGTTGCAGAGGACCTGAGTTGAGTCCCGAGCATCCACATCAGGCAGCTCACAGCTGCCTGTAACTCCAGATCCAGGGGATCTGGTAACTGTCTTCTGAACACTACAGGCACCAGCACATATGTGGCATTCACTCACACAGGCACACACATATAAATAAATCTTTAAAAATAAATAAAAAATAAAATCAACGCATAACACTAAGAGCCAAAATATCAATTTAATGATATAGTTTGTAAGTCATCTACAATATGATTTCATATTTAAAGTGTCAGATTAATAGCTGTCTGACTTCTATATTTAAATACATTGTTCACTTTCTTTAAACAATGACCAGTGCCGAAATCTAACTATTCACGAATAAACTATATATTCTTTGGCATTCTACATATGCCAAGATGTGCATGCAAAAAAAATCTAACAAAAAAGTGTAAGAATGGAATTTCTGGCCAATGTACACAATGTATCATTTTTACAAAAGAAGGGGAAAGAGTACAGAGAGAAACCAACATTCATTACAGGCTCATGCCAGGTACTGTGTGCTGAGTGCTTTATGTTGCAGGCTTACACAAGGTGCTGTGTACTAAGTGTTTTGTGTTAAATTGCAACCAATTCAGTGTTTCATACATTCTATTACCAAGTAAATACAAACAATTATATTCACACATCAAAGGAATTAAGCAGAAACTCTAAAAATCTGGAACAGATTACACTTTTCCTCCCCAGGCTATGTGCTCAGTCCATCACATTTATCACCCCTGTGAATACATAGTCCAAGGGCCTACAGGTCCATTAATTTAAATTATTTCCAGAAAAGTCACCCAAGAATATTGCTCCTCTCACTAAAACATTGCTTAAGAAGGGTTAGCTGTGATGAACCAAGAATTCAATTCTTATGAGCACACTTTCAAAAGAAGTTACTAAGCTGGGCATAGTGGCACACGCCTTCAATCCCAGCACTCAGGAGGCAGAGGCAGGTGGATCTCTGTGAGTTCAAGGCCAGCCTGGTCTACATAGTGAATTCCACGACAGCTGGGCCTACAGGGAGACCCTGTCTCAAAAAGACCAAAAAAAAAAAAAAAAAAACCTAGGAAAAACTTACAAGCAAGCAAGCAGAGAGCCCCTGGCCATGTGGCTTGTGAGAGTATAGGAGAGTGACGTCAGTCTAAGTCCTTTAGAAGCTTCACAGATAAGTTATATAACCACCCATCCATCCTTGTGATACAGGCTGTTCAACCTAGGCCAAAGCAGTGGGGAGCAGTCCTTAATGGGATGGCTAGTTGAAGGCATTAAAGATACATGGTTGTCACCAAGGGAGACTAACATGATTAGCATGGGATGGAGGACTACAAAAGAGGGGCAGGCATTACTGAGAGAACTAGGTATGAGAAAAGCAATATATGATGTCCAGTTCACTGGGCCAGATGAGACTGTGTTCACCAGAGATATGAAAGGAAGCTTAATTCAACTGGGACCTCAAGAATGGTATGGAGCTTTAATGGCTTTACTAAGCCCTTTGATGGGACAGGATCTTTGTAAAGTGAGAGAGGCTTTGGCAGATCTAAGTGATTCTGACCAGCATGTAAAACATGTCTGTAAAATAACAGAACAAACACCCTATAAGAAATATAGAAAAAACCAGACCGAAGAAATGGTCCACTTGGGTTACCTGAATACAAATGTGGCAACACTTATGTCAAGCCCAAATTCCCAGAGAAAAAATTGATAGAAAACCAAATTTGGTACTAAGGCATTTCTGGAAGGTTTTAAAACCAGAAGAACAGTTTACAAAGGACATTCAAAGAATAAAAACTATACAAGGGGTGGTTAGGAATCCCCAAGGATTAAGTAAGATGTATTTCTCTTCTGATAAAGGCTATACTAGGGGTGGAAGCAGGTTTTCCCACCAAGTTCTCCCTCAGTAACCTGGTGTGGTCAATGGGGAGAGGACAGATATGGCTACAGTCAGGAGGCAGACCCAGAGCCTGTCTGACTCAGGGAGCCCACAAGTACAGCAGGGACAGGAGAAGCCCTCTGCCTCCTTAGCCCAGTACAGGGTCAGGCAACTGGAGCCAACACCTATAAGTATATCAAGAATAAAAGAACACAAAAAGACCCCATGTAAAATCCACCAAGTGCAAAATGAATCCAAAGGGATAACTAAAAATATAAAGAGCTAACCAAATTTATGCCTTGTATCCATGCTATGGTACCTAACAAGGATCTGTGGAGAAAACAGTTAATACGAATGGACAAAACCTTACCATGCTTTGTGACCTTGTCTATGAGTGATTTAATATAGAATGTTAACATTCCTTCGAGTGTTTTACAGATGTGAAACCCATTTGAAAGATACCTGGAGAAGCAAAGGCCAGCTATAGCTGTAAGATTCTTGGGAGTTTTATGTAAGTTGGATAAGATGAGGATAGAGGCTCCCAAACTATACCACTGTTAAGAAAATCTACAGTACCAGGGGTGGGTTGCCCCCTTATGAGCTGTTGGTCAGTGAGAGATCCTAGAGGTCCTCCAATTCATCAAGGCTATTGCCATTAATGTTGATTGTACACTAGAAAGGTCAGTAAGGACATGTTGCTGAGGACACTGCATGTTGTGAGCACAGGAGAAGAAGAGATGGAACTGAGACTAGGTCAAAAAACCCCTCCATGCCAATGGATGGATGACTTTCATATTGATGTAGATGGTTGGGGAAGAAAGGATCCCCTATAATTCTACTCAACAATGGACCCTGCGTGCTGCACACTATGGGCATGCCAAGAAATACCTGCAAATGCAATAATGGCTCGACCAACACACGTACAACTGACAAATTTCTAATTGGATAAGGCCCACTCCTAGGGGTGAAACACACATCTGGTGGTATAGACCAGGCCAACAGCTTGTGTTGAGACAGACTACAGGCCCTACTGGAGAAGCCATCATAAGTATACTGTTTAATGAGTATAGTACACCTACTGGGATATCGTCTAGGCATTTGTATTTACATTCATGTTTGTTTAAAAGTGTCTAATTCCTTCCATTTGTCTTTATAGTAGAAGAAACACCACTGAGATATATAAGTGGCTATGGCCTAAAGACTAATGGGGAGGCCCAAGAAGCAACTATCTCGCCATGATACAAGAGAGATAGCCCTACATCTATCACCCCCTCCCAAGGCTCAGGGACTTTAGCGGAAGATGGACAGGAAGATTGTAAGGGCAGAGGAAAGGGGTGGAGTGTCTAGTTCCTCCAGTAAGCGGGGCCTGATGTGGAGCGTGGTCTACGAAGGGGCTCTGGGAGCCATTTTGGGACAGAAGCCACGAGCTGAGGGTAGCACATGTGGTGTGGGGGACACAAAGCCAGTCGCTCAGCAGCTGAAGGACAGAATGGACTGACTCTTGTGGACATGGGGCGATCGCTGGTCCCAGAGGCATGAGCAAATGCTAGCAGTGACTATGGGTGTGACACGGTCTGATAAAGCACAGTGCAGGGCTAGGCCCTGGGTACTCATTCCTTTGTAAGTTAATAAACTCACATAAAATATATGGTTTATCTGATCGCGTAGGAGACCCAGAGGGAATTCGGGCAGCAACTATACATCATCAAAACATGAGCTGCCAGGACCAAAGATTATAGACCCTTATTATGACAACTTGCAGATTTAAGCTCCACCAGTTTCCAAAGAAAAAGGTAGGTTAGAAATAAGATTGAGCATTTTCATAAGCCAAAGTTTGGTTACAAACCAGATGCTTTCTGGGTGGAATGTTTGGTGGCTTTTTATTTTATTATTACTGAGGGTTTTTTTTGTTTTTATTTTTGAGGTGCTGGGGATTGAACCTATAGCCTTGAGCATGCTAAGCAAGCACTTTTCTGCTGAGCAATATCCTCACCAAGGGATAAGTGAAGAACATCCAACGTAAAATGAAAAATATCTGAATCGTGTACATTTGAAAATAGGCAAAATGAAGTTGACTTTTTAAAGTGTCTGACTGTAAGGCAGACAAGACTGCAATAAATTTTATATTTACATTTCTGATATTAACTTAATAACCTTAACACTAAAAATCTGAAGGCCTCAATAAAATGTAAAATGATTATAGCAATGTTAAATGAAAAAAACATAATATATTTCTATTTATACCATAATTATAAGGAATGAGGCTATAACTCAGTGGTAGAGCACTTGCCTATCATGCACAAGGTTCTTTGTTCCAAAAAAAGCATTATGATTATATAAGAATTGTTTTATATCTAAGAAATTAGAACTGTGAAAAATTGATTTGAGAGATAACTTTTAGATAACTACTTTTTGATTATTTATAAGAATGTTATTTAAATAAATGATGACTTTTAAAATATTATCAGCATGTATATTAAATGGTACTCAGACTATAGTAGTTTAGCTATTTTAAGGATACAGGTGCTGAGGTTTGAATTTTCTAGTTACTTTGCCAGTTTCAAGACAGCAAGCATTATCATTCCCTTATACCTTCCACAATGTTTAGCATCACATTAAGGGCCTACAGAGAACCAGTCAAGACCAGTGATGATCACCAATCACAGATAACATAAAACTGAGAACTTACTGTTATTTGTTGGTTCAGGAAATCCAGCCTTTGGACCACTCCATCCTTTGCTTTCCCCTGTCTGAAAAATTAAACCAATTGTTTAAATATATAGAAAGAGACATATGGAAGAAGAAACAAAACCCTATAGACTAACCATTTTAGCAAGGACAAAAATCCCTCACAGGAGGTCACAGATCCTAGAGAATACCATATCTGTCATATTTCTAGACAAATGAAATTTCTTATCCTAAATATGGATTCTTGTTTACAGACAATGATACAATACACCACTCATCAAAGAAGTTTCTTTTTGCAACAGATGGAGCCTATTGTAGAGTTCCACAACTGGTCACATATAGAGAATATACATCTGAGAGACGCCCACCCCTAGTGACATATCTACCATGGAACCTCTATAACTAAGGCTCACAGAACATAGTGGAACAGGAGCTGAGAATACTAGCACATCCCTCAACTCTCACCAGCGAAGCTTCCTTATACAACAGAATGAGGTACACACAGAAGACCACAACTGGACAAATTTTAAAGAATAGGAGACTGACAAGTGTGTGTCTCTGGATAGGACTCCTATATTAAACTTCACCCACCCAGGGCTCAGGGACCATTGTAGAAGAGGGGGCAGAAAGATTGTAAGAGCCAGGGGTGCTCTATGTACAAAGGGAAACAGGCTTTCATGCCACTGGAAGCTTGCTCATGTGAATTTGTGGCAATGGTTGCGTCCAGCACAAGACCCATGCCAATCAATCAGACAAAGGCCCAGAGTGGAGCAAGGGAAATGGGAAGCAGGCTGGCCCTAGCCTGGGAACTGTTGGAGGCTGATTACTGCCGGGTGAGGAAGAGTAGACCTGCCTTAAGAGTTCTAGATAGGCTGACTAGACCCCAGTGGATGAACTTGCATCAAAGGACATTTGGGTGAAATGCTTGAACAGATGGGACTTAACATGTATGACAGAATACATGAGACCTGGTGTGGGGAGTGGGGGCATGGATGAGGGAGAGGAGTTTTAATTTGATTAAGAACTGTTGTATGAAATGTACAAAAGCATAATAAAAAAATATTTTTTAAAGAAAATCCCTGCCAGATTTTTGAATGTATCTTTTCACCCCAGGGTGCTGAGTATAAGAGCAACTAATGTGAACAGTATCCCTGCCCCTTTTCCACATGTGTGTCTATTTCTATTTCTCTTCCTACTCTGATCTGCTTAAGTTTTTAAGTTTATAAGGTATCAAGAAAACTTCATATATAATATATATTATATAAAAATGGGCTCCATTTAAATGAGTAAAAATAAGTAATTTTTATTCAAGTAGTAAACAATCACCATCATCATTATCATCAGAGTACTGAAGTAACTAAAAAAATTTATCCATCCTAAAATCAGAATATTAAAAACGCTACTTTCCATTCTGGAATTTTATTTTATTTTTTTTGTCTTTTTGAGACAGGGTCTCCCTGTAGCCCCAGCTGTCCTGGAACTCACTGTGTAGAACAGGCTGGCCTTGAACTCACAAAGATCTGCCTGTCTCTGCCTCCCAAGTGCTGGGATTAAAGGCGTGTGCCACCACGCCCAGCAATTCTGGAATTTAAAAAAAAAATTATCACTGAAAATATAATTCTAGCAAATATTTGGTCAATGTTAGTTCTAAAGAATGTTTTTCTTATTTGTCTCCTTTCATTGTTACTATACATCATGAAGTGATAAGGAAACAAACACTGGCAGAAGAGAAGCAAAAACCAAAAAAAAGAATTCTAAAAAGTTGACACTCTGTTACCAAAACCATCACCTTCATATGAACCAGAAAACACATCTTTCTTCCTTTATCTATTTTTTTCCCTTAAAATACAATGTCCTATCTTCCCCACATTTATCACCTGGGAGATCACTGCTGCAACCTTTGACTGCTAAACTCTAATACAGGCATCCTTCATAAAACAGAAATTACAGCCAGTCATGGTGGTGCAATGCCTTAAACACTGCAGAATAAAATTGACTTTATAAGAAACAAACTAGGGCTGCAGAAGTTTAGCAATTAGTCTAAAGTCACATACATAATATGTAGTTTGTCTATATCAAGAAATAAACAGTACTTTTAATGTCTATTGTTGTTTTTGTTTTGTTTCACGTGCGGAACTAAGTATTAAACCACTGAACGTGGGGTTCTGTACATGCTAGGCAAGTATTCTACCACTGAGCTACAGATAGCTTTTTACACAGAAAAGAAGATCGGAGGAAACTAACTAGAAATGCTATGATTAAATGCTTGTAACTAAGAATGTAAAGATCCCGGATGAACATCAGGATCTGTAGTAAGAAGAATGGCTGGAGGGATGACTTGGCGGTTAAGGGCAACTTGTGTCAGGATCAGCTTACAGCCCCAGCACAGATGTGGAGGTCAGGAGACCACCATGTGTGTTCTGGGGAATCAAACTTAGGTGCTCAGGTTTAGTGGCAAGTGCCTTTACTGATTGGGCCATCTTACTGGCCCTGAATTTCATTTTTAAAGACTAAAATTTATAAGATTTGTTTTGATTGTACAATTCCTTCTGCCCTTTACTGTGCTTTGTTATCTTAATACCTATAAATTTTAACCAGTAGATAAAATAGGATTTGCACCTGAGCACTATCTCTAAATTGGTAATCCAAGAATTCATAAGTACAGAGAATGAAAGGAGACAACAGCAGAAGAGACCCACAGATCAAAGTCTAGAGACGGAAGCAGGAGATGGGCTGTAGCAAGTTTAGTAGACGTGAGTGACTGGCACCTGTGCTGCAGAAGGCAATGCCTCAGTGCTTACAGAGAGTAGGGTGGCTTATGACCCAGGGCCCAAAGCGCGAGTAGCTTGTGAATAATGGCATGAAGACTAGAACGGAAGGGAAAACATTATCTTATTCACAGATGACATGATCATCAATACAGAAAACTCCAAAGTCACATTCTACTCTAGAACTGGTTAGTTTATAAAGGTTACATGATACAAAGTCAGTATAAACAATGTGTTCTATATACTAACAGTGAAGAACAAGACATGGAAATTAAAAGCAAATTTCATTAAAAACCCAAGAGAATATTCACTGTATTTCAAAAACACTGTATCAAGATTAACCCATTGTGGGAAATGTTTTGGGGAAGACAGGCTATAAGTCAGTAAAATGAGACTAATTTTTTTTCACTGTTTGTGTTGCTTGAATGCTTGTAACCGTGTAACTATTTTATTACAAAAAAAATTTAACTGCAAACTTTAAAAAACAATTTTGCCATATTGAAACATCTTCTCACTGATCAATCAATACATTCAGTCTCATTTCACCTCTCTCTACCGTATGAGTGCTATCTAGTTGTTGAAGCCATTCTCTGTTCCTCTTTTATGCAGGCATTCCTTCTCTTGTATCTGCCATACATATTATGTGCTACTTGAATTATACCAACTACATTTCCCAATTATCTCTGGAGTTCTTTCCTTATCTCCTGCACCATTTTTTTCAGCTAGAGCCTCCACATCTCACATCTGAACAACTTTACTTTCCTGTTGACTGATCTCTCTCCTCTCAGCGTCTCTCAGCTCAAATCCATTTACCACATTACTTACAGAATTATTTTTGATGAACATAACTAGATTAAACTCAAGTCTTACATGAACAATTCTTCAAGCCTTTTACTTTGAATAAAAACAGTGACCTCCCTCTCTCCTTACAACATGATCAAAACACCTCACCCCTACACTTAATGGCTGAGTTCCTTGAAGGTAAAGACTATGCTTCAGTGAACTTGTTATCTTCAGTTTTAAGTATCTGTCATTTAGTGGGTGTGATGGTTAATTTCATGTGTCAAGTTGTCTGAGCCAGAGTACAGGTATTTTGGTCAAGCATTAATCTGGATGTTTCTCTGAGGAAGATTTGGATGAGATTTTCATTTAATTTGGTGGACTTTAGGTAAACACTACCCTTCACAACATGCAGGGCTATATGCAATCAGTTGAAGGCCTCAACAGTAAAAGGCCAATCTTCATGAGAACAAGGGAATTCCCCAACAGACTGTCTTTGGATTGGAACTGGAACTTTTTCCCGAGTCTTCAGATTTATTAGTCAAACCACAATCACATGGGCTAATACTTTAAAATAAATCTGTGAGTGTGTGTGAGCTGCTGGTTCTGTTTCTCTAGAGAACGTTTGCTAATACAGTAAGTATGCAAAAAATGCCTTTCAAATAAATGAAATTACTGTTTTTTGTTTTGTTTTCTTTCAATTAACTTACAAATAAGTGTCTCTGAAGAGATTTATTTTGACATATTTTTATAAATCACTCATCAGTTTTAAGTCAATATAAAGTGTTAAAACAACATATACATAATATAAGACCTAGAGAATCTCAAACATATGTTCGGTTTCATATTACAAATATGTTTAAAAGAAGAAGAAAAGCATTGACTAGCCAGGTTAAAAAAACAGAACTGAAATCTCTAGCAATATTACATAGACAAATGAATTTTTTAATCATGCAAAAGAATCATAGCTGCCTTACGAAGAAAAGTGCAGTTAAATGTTCAGAGAGCTTTCTTACTCTAACCTGAAGGATTGTGTCTCTGCAAAATCTAAAGACATCTCTGAAACAGAGTCCTTATATGAGAAAGGCCTGATCAAAAGCATATTATTTTTCATAAAAGTAATTATGAAGCCCGTTGTGAATTTTTATGTAAACAAAATGCTTAATAGAAATAATTTCTATATAATTATAGAATTAACAAAATGGAAATAAAAAATAAAAATAATCCAATTCTCCCTAAGTTATCTGCCAAGTCCCAAATTCAGACTTCTCTGCTCCTCTTGCAACAGAGGCAGGTGTTAATGACATCATTAACTACTGCAGAAGAAATACAAGACCATGAACAAGGCATATAGAGAAAAAAATACCTCTGAGTTTACCTTTAAATTTAAAGTAAACAAAATTAGTTTATAGGGTCTAGCTAATATAATTACTGCCCTAAAGGGGTAAGTCAGAATTTTTATTTCCAGTATTCTCAGCTGTACTCCAAAAGTAAAGACTAATGACTTCTGTTCGTAAAAGGCATAAACATAGACCAAAAAAAAAAAAAAAAAATGTCACTAGCAAAAAGTTAACAACACTTAAATTGGTATGAACTATCAGACAAAATATTTTAGTATTTGCTAATCTTTAAATTATAATTACTCACTAATAGTTCATCTTTCACACAAGCAGATGTTATTTGGTACCTATAATATCAATGCTATGACGTACCGTCTCATAAAAATGAAAATCTTTGTCTACTTCAATAGCAGATAAGATCAGAAGGTATTAATCACTTTGATATTATGACTGAAAGCACACACACACACGGAACATTAATTCTTACCTTGTCAAGCTGCTCTTGAAGGCTAGTAGATGCTTTATAACCAAGCTGCAACAGCATTGCTTCTGCAGCATTTTTTTTGGCTATCTTTTTATTGGGTCCTGTTCCAGTAGCAACTTCAGTGCCTACCTTGACCTGTTGAGATTAAAGAAATTAATGATAGTTGTTTTAGTAAACAGAAGTCCTTAAATGACAAAGCAATGAATAGATTAAAAAATACAGTCAGTCCAAAGTAAAACAGGAAAACAAAATTTACTTATATAACTTTATCTTTGTTGTGTATTTCATATATAAGATCTTAATCATCTTTATACCTTCCTTCGTATTAACACCATCCCATAGCCGCCGCCACCCCCCCTCCCACACACACACTGTATTCTGTCATTTATGTTAAGGCCTATCAAGTCAAGTTAGTACACTTAGATGTCCCTCAGTGCAAGTTCATTCACTAAGATCTATAGAAAGTACACATGGAGAAAGTATGGGAAAATGGTCCTTAGCTCACCCACTATGAGTTATCTCAAGGTGGCACTCTTAAGAGAACTCGTACTTCCTTAGACATTTATATATTACTTGATTTTTTAAAACATTAAGCTTGTGTTACTTGTTTAAGCAGAAAAATAAGGTTTCTATCAATATAGAGTTCGTTATGACTACATTTATTACACTTTATTTCCAGGAATAAACTGAGAAGGCTGAGATTCATGTTAGTGCCAGCCATTTAAACTAATGTTCACATTGTATCCCAAGTTTATACTTTATATTAGTGATAGAGACATGCTCAGAGGTAAAGTGTTTGCCTAACATATCCAAGGCCTTAGGTTCATCAACCAGTGTTGGGGGGAGGAATTATATTAAATAGTTCTTACTAAGATTTGTGAAATTCAGCTCTATGATTTCCCCTCTGTATAAACCATTGCAAATTATTAAACTCATTAAACCTCAAATTCATCAATAAAGCAGGTATAATAACATCAACTACCTGTTGGTGTTGCTTGGAAAACTAAGATAATCTATGTCAACCTCGATGCTTGTAAAATCATAATTGCTGATTGAACAGTAAACTTTCCCAGCTATCTTCCTGTAAACTATGTAAACATAGATGTGTACATACACACAGAAGCCAAGAGAATGGAATAAAGACAAGAGCGAAAAAAAAGAAAAGAAAACACAATAGAGAAGTTTAAAACTTCAAAAGCTGTTTTTTTTTGAGTTTGGTAAGACTATTTTAAATGGCATGCACTAAGAGAAACTTTAAATATAAAAATTAATTTAGAAAGCAGATAAACAAAACTACAAGGAGAAACATACAAAAAGGCATTAAAATATGTTAACTATAGTAGGATTTGTTTTTACACAGTTGTCTCAGTAAGTGAAGAGCAACTTAATCAGAACTTTAGGAATTAAACAATGTAATTCAAGCCATCTATAGAATAAAAGAAGAAATCTCAATGGAAATCAGAAAACATTTTAAATAGACAAGAATACATAAAACTTAAAGGTACCTCTATAAAAGACAATTATAGCCATAATAGTATATAGAAAAGCAGAAAATGTCCTAACATTAATCTGAAGAAATTACAAAAATAGCAGCAAAACAAACCAAGAGAACAGAATACAGACAAACAAAAATTAAGAAAATGGAAGAGAAAACACAACAGAGAAGTTTAAAAATTCAAAGGCTGGATCCTTGCAAAAGGTAGTAACATGATAGGCCAAAGGTTAAGACTGAGAAAAAAATAAACTCAGGATACAGTTCAATGGCAGAGCACCTGACTAACATGGGCAGCACCACAAAGAAGAAAATGGGAAAGAAAGAAGAGATTATAAGTTTGTGTGGCATTACAAATAAGAAGTATTGAGCTCAATTCCATATTACTTTAAAATAATTCAGAAACAATGGAAAAATTCCTAACAATGCAAATTACCAAAGCTGCCACAGACTAAGCCTAAAACAAAATAGAATTATACCTAGCAAAGCAATTAATGGGCTGCAGCAGTTGTTCAATGGTTAAGACAGCTTGCTACTATTGCGGAGGTCCTGAGTTCAGCTCCCAGCTCCCATGTCTGGTGGCAGACAACTGCCTGTTGGGGATCAAATGCCCTCTTTTGGTTTCCCCAGGCAACACACACACACACACACACACACACACACACCACAAATAAATCTTAATAAAAAAGAAATTGAAACCATAATTTTTAAAAGCTCTACATAAAGAAAATTCCTTACCAGGCAGAGTAGTACACTCCTGTAATGGCAGCACTTAAAGAAGCAAGAGGATTTGGGGTTACAGAGAGAATTCTAGGCCAGCATGGGTTACTTAGCAAGACCTCGAAGGAGAGAAGGGGAGCAAAAGATGGGAGGAAAGGAAAGGATTCCCTCAGTGTTTCTTCAGCAAATTCTAGACAACATTTAAGAGAGAATTAAGCTAATCTTATGTATAAGATTCATCCAAAACTGGAAAGAGCAATCAGTTCCCAATTTCTTGAAGCATCATTTTGACTGCAAAATCCAACAAGAATATTAAAAGAAAGGAAATTCACAGAACAGCTTCGATTTTGCAGGTCTTATGCACACTGTAACTACCACCATGTGTTCATATATGCAAATGCCCTGTTGTGTCTGGAAAACACATTCCTTGTATTCATCTACCACCTATGATTCTCACCATTTTTCTATCCCCTTCTTTCACAATGATTCCTGAGTCTTGGGACAAGAGAGCATGATACAGATGTCCTGTTTAAGGATGAGCACTCTGAAGTTTCTTATTTTCTGCACCTTGACCAGATGTGAGTCTCTGTGTTAATTGCCATCTAGTGTAAAAATAAGCTTTTCTGATGAGTGCTGAAATATGAACTAATCTACGAATACAGTATTAAGTCATTAGGACTTGGTTTCATATTATGTCCATAAAGCAGAATATCAGTAATAGATACTGGCCTAGCGCCAGTCCTACAGTCCTACCTCTCTTGAGCTGCTTCTTTCCCCTTATCCCCTAGGTTCTTTATATACCCTTCCCTTCCCCCTCCATTAAACTAACCCAATTTTTATCCATATCTCCCTTATTAAGGCCTGTTTCCTACTATTCTTCCCTTTCAGGTTCTTTCTTTTCCTTTACCTCCCTGTTTCCTTTCCATTATCCTGGTTCCTGTAGTTATGTCTGGATACCTACTCACTTATCAGGGTTTGGTTCTAGGATCCACATATGAGGGAGAACATATGTCGATTTTTTTCTGAGTCTGTGTTACTTCACTTAGTATAACAGTTTCTAGTTCCATCCAAATTTCAAGATTTCATCTTTCTTTACTGCTGAGTAAAACTCCACCATATAAATGAACCACATTTTCATTATCCACTCGTCAATTGAGCGACACTTAGGGTGCTTCCATCTCTTAGCTACTGTAAAAAGGGCAGCAACAAACATGGATGTACAAGTGTCTCTGCAATAGGATAAGTTCTTTGGGTATGTGCCAAGGAGTGGTACAACTGGGTCAAATGGTAGGTTCATTTGTAGTTTTTTAAGAGTTCTCCACACTGCTTTCCATAGGGGTTGAACAAGTTTGCAGCCCCACCAGCAGTGGATGAGTGTTCTCCTTTCCCCACATCCTCTCCAACATTTGGTATCATTTTTTGAGACAGGGTCTCCCTGTAGCCCCAGTTGACCTCAGAGAGAACTGCCTGCTCTTCCTCCTGAGTGCTGGAGGCATGTGCCACCAATTCCAGCTCAATAAAAATCTTTTTTAAAACACAGAACACAAATGTTTCACAAATGATCATGGGCATTAAAGTTTTAAAGAGTATAATGAATAAAGCAATATATAGACAGAAGGAGAATCATGACAGAAGGATTCATTCTGGAAATGCAAGATTGGTTTCAGTGAAGCCAAACAGTATCAATCAATGAATTAGTAGGCTAAGGAGACAAACCACACAGTCATCTTAATAAATGGAGCAAAAGCATTTGATATATAATCATTCATAATCACAACCATTAGCAAAACAGAAAAAGAAGGAAATTTCCTTCATATAATAAGATACATTTTTCAACAGGCTTAAAGCAAAACTGAGCAAATACTGTACTTAATGTTGAAACCTTGGCATTGAAAACAAGGTAAGAATGTCCTCTATTATTTCTAGTATTTACTATTTACAAGTCCTGGGAAGAGCAGTTAACAAACAAGAAAAAGGAAAGGTTTAAGATTCAGTGAAGAAAGTTGTTGGTATTAGTACACCTGATATTTATATACAGAAAATTCAAGAAAGTCTACAGATAAATTATAAGAATTAATGGGACCATAAGAAGCTCTTTGTGTAAAAAAGGTCAGCATACAAAAAGCAAAGTGCATTCTGCATTCTATAAGGATTAAAGTAGAAAATGAAAAATATTAAAAGCTGCGTGTATTTGAGAATTCTAGAAGACAATGAGCGTTGTTGAGAAAAATTAAAATCATAACAGAATGATAAGCCAAGGACTGAAGATATTAGTAATATAATTATTTCTCTTCTAACTGATCTATAAATTCACTGAATTCAAATCAAAACCTCAAATGTATTTTACAATACTTGACTAGCTGATTTTAAAGTTTATTTATGTGGTGGTACACATCATTAATCTCAGCACTTGGGAAGCAGAAGCAGGCAGATCTCTGTGAGTTTGAGGTCCGCCTGGTCTATATAGGAAGTTCCAGGCCAGCTGGTACTACAGGGAGACCCTGACTCAATAAGACAAATTAATTAATTAGTTAATTAAAATAAACTTTATTTATTTAGTAATGCAAAGTGCTAAGAAAGGCTGTTTTTCTGGTAGAAGAAAAGGGCAGGGGTATATCTTAGTTAGCTTTCTATTGCTGATAAACACCATGACCAACAGGTAACTTATGGAAGAAAGGGTTTATTTCATCTTACAACTCCCAGGTCACAATCCAGCACTGAAGGAAGTCAAGTAAGAACTCAAGGTGGGAACTGAAGCAGAGAACACAGAGAAATGCTGCTAACTGGCTTATTTCCCCTGGCTTGCTCAGCTACCTTTCTTATACAGCCCAGACATATCTGCCTAGGAATGGTACTGCCCACAATGGGCCCTCCTACATGAATTAACAATCCCAAAACTGCCCCACAGATATGTCCACAGGCTAATCTGATGGCGGTAATTCCTCAACTGATGTTCCATCTTCTTGGGTGTCTCTAGTTTGTGTCAAGTTGACAAAACTAACCAGTACAGTGAATTTCTTTGGTTATCTGAACTTACTATAAAGCTAATGTAAGAGAAAGACAAATAAATTTGAGTGTATTAAACACAACCATGCAAATGATGTGGCAAAGGAATACACTCTTAAACAGAAGTGTAGTTAAGATAGCCTAACTGACAGTTGTAGCATACAAAGCACTAGAAATGTTTAGTTCAGAATTTCTGTGATGACCTTTGCAAATCCTGTAGTTCAAAACTGTAAAGTGTCTTGAAACACGTCATTGCTTTTTCCTACAAAGCCAGAAACCTCCACCTGCTGGCCAGTTTGAGGTTGTCTGTGGGCTGTATCCTAAGAAGCACTGCTCTACAAGACTGCAACAGTAGATCCTCGCAGCTGCATGAACTCAGTCTCACTGTGTGAACTAAGAGTGTTGGCCTTACCCTGACCTCAACACAACAGGATAATGTGCTCCCATCCTCAGCTAGTCACTCTGCTGTCATTTTTCTAGTGCTTGGCTTGTTCCCCAGATTCACCAGCCCTTATACTGTTCTGGAATGATTGTTGGTGAAAAGATTAGACCAGCTGCGTCAAAAAGCCTCCTCTACTTCTCTGAGGGTCAAAAGGCTCACCAAAGTACACAAATCAAAAGATGACTGAACATGAATAACTGCTGAAAGGTTTTCATCTGCTTTCACATGCTATGCACACCTCCCTGGATCTCACTCCAGTTTTCCTCTCCTTTATCCCTACATTTCATCTATCCATGCAAGCTGATACCCTTTGGACCCAGACTACTTACCTTTCTTGGACTTGGCTGCAACGGTATTCCCATCTTGGACAAATTGTTTATCTGTCTGCCAGATTTCTGCCTGAGCTATGCTGATTCTTTGAAAAGAATTTTTAACAGGTGTTTCCCAGGATCATTTCCCTTCTTACCCATTCCTTGCCTCACACAACTTTTTTTAACCAGATAGTTCAATAGTTTGTGAGTAGTTATCCCAAGGTAATCTGTCAGTGCTTAAAATTCATACTGCTAAAGGACTTTTATTTCTTGTTAATGAACACAATGACTCAAAGTACTTGACTATAAAAGTCAAAAAGGGGCGTAAGTTTCATATATTACTTTCCTTAAAAAGCTCACAGATTTTCTAAGATTACAAATAAGATCTTTGCATTAAAATGTTAATTTCTATCCACAAAGAAGCACAGTAATTATATTATGCAATAAATTTAAAATTTTGTTTTTAAACAAATCACATGAATTAAACCCTCTAAAAAGACAAAAAGAAAAGTTCTGAAATAGCATTTACCAAAAATATTATCTTTCACTGAGACATGAAACTGAGACAAAATCTGCTTTATATATTTTTAACAACTTGGAGATCTTAGTTATAGGTAGAAAAGCTGGTATTCTATAATTCATAATAACACAGCATACTGATATGTTATTCAGTTAGCAATATTTTCTCTCTAAAATTAAAACACTTCTCTCCAAAACAAATGAAAAGTTGAGGAATTTGCTTTGAAAGCCTGTAATCCCAGCACTTGAAAGGCAGAGGTGGAAGGATCAGGAGTACAAGGTCATCCTCAGCTAACACAATGAGTTCAAGGCCAGCTTGGGTTACATGAGCCTCTGTCACTATACCCTCTAACCAGTCCCAAACCACCCCCCAAAAGAAATAAATTTACTTTGGAACAAACCTCCCACATGGTATCACCTGAAAATTTCTTATCTACTAATTAGCACAAGTAATTTGCATTCATTTTATAAAATAAATTCACTTTTGGAAGGTGTAATAGATAAAAATGGGGCATATTATTTCTACCTATATTCCTTCCATATTCAATTACAGCATGATAATAGTGCTACAAAAGCTGTGCCTTTAGTAAGGTTTATTGCAAGTTTGCAATGAATCTACTAGGGTTTACAGAGGGGGTTGGGGGAACATAACATGAATTCAGTGTAAAAATATTTAAAACATAGCCAAATGTCCCTGTTTGACCTGAATATTTATGAATATCCATAAAATGGAAGCTGTCCTGCGATATTCTAAACTCCTCTTTCAAAGGGGACACTCAATACATTCCATAGAAAAGGAACTGGCTGATATATCCAAAATCAGATTATATTTCTAACACATATCTGAAATTCAGGTGATCTTTCATTTAGCCTTTGGAATCTAAAAAATACATTCTTGAATTCTTTTTTAAATTTTATTTATTTTTATTTTATGTGTAGGAGTGTTATGCCTGCATGCATGTAAGTGCACCCATGACATACAGTGCCACAGAGGACAGAAGAGGGCATCAGATCCCCTGGAATTGGAGTCATAGATGGTTATTAGCCACCAGTGGATGCTGGGATTTGAACCTGGGTCTTCTGCAAGAACAGCCAGTGCTTTTAACCACTGAGCCATTTCTTCAGCCCCACATTCTTAAATTCTTAAGAGCTAAGAAATTAAGAGGAAAAACAATATATTCTATCAACTGAAAATACTAGAGGAGTGTTCTGGTCCTGAGGACACTGAGACAATGCTGTGTTTAGTAACCATGGAAGTCCCTATCTTTGGACTCCAGGTTCCCAGCAGTGGTTTATCTGTAACTACATCACAGTTTTGCAGTTCCAACAAAAGCCTGTTCAGTTATGCAGGAAGGCAACAAATACTTTCCAACAACTACTACCAGATACAAATTAAGAGGGCAAAACTTAGCTATGCATGAATAACTAATCAATAGGAGATTCTATATTTGGATGTTGAAATATGGGCCATATGGTCAACCCTAAGTAAATATTTGTCAATTTTGTCTGGATCATATGAAAAGTAAGATTTTTGGAGTTGATTATAAGAAGTGTCTTTGTCAAAGGAAAAACTTTAAAGTTTGAACACAATAAAGAAAATTTAAGTATTTAAGCATTAGAGATTAGATTCCTCTAATGAATCATCACTATAAGAAACTTTTTCATAATTTTTAGAAATATGCCCTTAGTAAGCCTGAAATTAGCTTTGAAATTTCTAAAGACGGAGAATGGAATAAAGGGAGAGTGGAAATAAGTTAGAATTAAATCTAGTATGGCAAAAATCTTACTTGCTGTGCCAGGAGTGTTAGGCATATTGAAGGTCCATTATATAAGTCTCTTTCCATTTCTAGATGGGAGGGAGGGAGGGAGAGAGGGAGGGAGGGAGGGAGGAAGGAAGGATTGATTGGGGGCTGGAAAGACTCTGTTCCCAGAATCCATAGTGGCTAACAGCCATCTAAAACTCCAGTTCCAAAGGATCTGATGCCCTCTTCTGGCCTCCACAGACATTTCATGACACAGGTGCACTTACACATGAAGGCAAAACACTCATACTCACAAAATAAAAAAATAAATTTTTTAAAGATTCATTTTATTTCTATTTATGTATATGTGTCCATTGGGAGAGGGGTATGAGCATGAGAATGCAGGTACCTAGAGAGGCACTGGATCCTCTGGAGCTGAAGTTACGGGAGGGTGTGAGCTACCTGCTATGAACTAAACTCAGGTCCTCGGCAAGAGCAGTGCATTCTCTTAACCACTGAGCCATTTCTCCAGTCCTGGATGTTTCTTAATAAAATAAAATTAAACCAAAGTTTCTCTAAGACTGTGGCTTGACTGTCAAATGCTGATGAGTCAGGCTGGACTTGAAAAGAACAAGGGAATGTAGATATCTGACCTTACCCCTAGCTCACAACAACTAGTCTTCAAGTTTTTTGGCTCTATAATAGTTAGGTCTCTCAGCAACTCTGAGTCCCTTAGCTCCCATCACAGTCAGTTGGACTGCCAAGGCTCTCTAATTTTCCTGATAGCCCATAACCTTATGCCCTTGGCCCAATTCCATCTCCTATATCTATCCTCCTAATTTTGTTTCTAATTCTACTTTTCTCCAGTCCTAATAGCTAATAGACTCTGGCTGCAAATTTCAACATGAAAGTGAAAAGATAGACATTAAATGATAAACTCTGTAGTAAATAACCTACGTGAACTCATAGGCCCTTCTAAGTCTCATACTGTCTATTCTAACATGTCCTTGACACCAGCATGTTTCCACCAAGTTGATAGGTGAGCCTGAAGGGAATGAATGCTTTGCAGTGTAAGCATAGTTATACTTTCTACCAAGTTCCAGCTTGTCTTTACTCACATCACTATGCCACCCTATCTCTTCAATAGTTTTAGAAACATAAAAAGGTCAAAAATACCTGCATCACAAATTCTCGACGTCGAGGCATTCCTCTTTCTGAAAGCAAAACATAATCTGGCTCCTTTTCCTTTTTGGCCTGTTGAATTTGAGCCAGGCGGCTAATGGGGTTCATTCCTTGACCGTATTCTGGTCCAGCCTAAAAAAAAAAGCAAACAAACTTGCAGACTCTGCTTGCAAAACTTGTTACTAAACCCTTAAGGAAGAAGTGGTTCTCCTCCCCAACCCCAGCCTGAAAAAGAAATGAGTCATTATGAATGAAAATCGTAACATGGAGCCATCACAGAGGCTTCCATGTGGTTTGGGGTTCAGTAGTACTATAGACAAGTTGGATCAATTATGCTTTAAAAAAATAGGTGAACTCTTCAGTATACAGGGTTGGCTTCACAATCTCTGTGCATCAAAAATCACCAAAAAGAACAGGACAAGGTAAGGCACGAACTGGAATGAGATACTTGCAACACATATAACTTAAAAAGATATATCCAGTCTCCAAAATATATATTTCAAATAGGCAAAAGATGAATAAATATAAGAAAAAAAGAAAAAGAAAAATAGAGGATAATGGATTTCATTAAAACTCGGAGAATACATGTTAAAGCCACAGTAAAGTACTATTATACACCCACCAATTTAAGAAAAAAATTAAAAAGTCTAACAGTCCCAGTTGGTAAGAATGAGGAGAAACAGAAACTTGTTTTTGAGGCAAGGGAAGGTAGAAAGGGGTATCTTAGTATGGCCTTGAACTCTTGGCTCAGCCTCCCAAGTAACCTGAACTACAAAGCATGTACCACCAAACCAGCCAGAAACTCTTGCAGCAGTACAATTTAGAAAACACCATGCCAATATTTAAGAAAGCCTAGAATCACACATCTTACTGCCCTAATGTTCTATTCATGGTACACATGCCCTAGAAAAGTGTTTTCCAACTGTATGCTAGCTTATATGTACAAAAAAATACCCTCAGAGGCATTATCTGAAACAAACATACAAACAAATTTTGTTATTTGTTCAACAAAAGAACAAATACACTATGGCCACTTCATACAATGGGATGATTTAAGGTAGTGAAAATGAGTTAAATATCAAAATATGCATTGATAAGGATGAATTTCAAAAAAATGATAAGTGAAAACCAAATGTAAAATAAAATACTGAATATATTTAGGCAAAGCCCACAAAAACTATTATACCTTGCCAAAATTAAAGAAGTTCTAAATAAATACGCGGGAGATATGCCCACAGATCAGAAGACTCAATCTTCTCATCAGAACATCAATGCACTACTCTACCAATCAAAACCACAGCTGACTTTAACAATTGGTAAGCAAAGCTAAATTCCTGTGGCAATGTAAAAAACTGCCAAAGCATCTTTGAAAAAAAAATGTGAATGACTCATTATCTGATTAATATCATAAAATTCTGTGTGTCATACTGACATAAAGACAAATACCAATGAAAGAGAACAGCACCCAGAAGTAGATACCCACACATGTATGTTATCGACTGACTTTCAACGAAGATACAAAAGCAATTCACTGGAGAAAGAGTAGTCTTTTCACACATGGTGCTGGTACAACTGGATATTCATAGGCAAAAGGAAAAAAACATACATATCTCCTTTATCTACAAAGATAATAGACTCAAAATACCCCATAGACCTAAATGTAATTATAAGAACTATCTGACTTCCAGAAGAAAGAACGGGAAAAATCTCTTTGGCTTTGTCAGGCGATGATTGCTTAGAATACTATAATCGCGCTTTATAAGTAACAACAATAATCATAAATTTGACACCAAAATTAGCAACTTCTATTCTCAGAAATAAGATAAGTCACAGTCTTAAAAGCTATATATCTGATAATTTGTAATGCAAGGTATATAAACCTTTTAAAATTTAACATTTAGCCGGGCGTGGTGGCACACGCCTTTAATCCCAGCACTCAGGAGGCAGAGGTAGGTGGATCTCTGTGAGTTCAAGTCCAGCCTGGTCTACATAGTGAGTTCCAGGACAGCTGGGGCTGCAGGGAGACCCCGTCTCAAAAAGACGAAAAAAAAAAAATTAAGATTTATTATTTCTTTAAATGATCGACAAAAAAACTTTAAGTACACAAATGTCAAACCTCATATGCCACTAAAATAAAAAAAAATTCTCACAGGGCTGGAGAGATGGCTCAGCAGTTAAGAGCACTGCCTGATCTTGCAGAAGACCTGGGTTCGATTACCAGCACCCACATGGCAGCTATGAACCGTCCTTAACTACAGTTCCAGGGGAATCTGAAGCCCTCTTCTGACCTCTGCAGCACCGCATGACATGGGTGCACTCACATACATGCAGGTAATACATTTGTACACATAAAATAAAAATAATAAAATATATTAAAAAATCCTCACTACCATTAGCTGTAGACAAATGTAAATTTCTACAATGTGATACCAATACACAATGAACAACTGAAATTTAAAGACTGATTATTCGAAGTCCCCACATCGATACAGAGCAAGCAGAACCCTCACACACTGCTGATGAGAATGTAAAATTGGACAACTGTTCAAAAAATAATTGGTGGTTTGTTAAAATCTGATTATCAGAGTTGGCTCACTGATAGAGCACTTATGTGAGGCCCTGGTTTGATCCCCAAAACCATAAAAATACACTTATTAGATGACTAAGTCATCCCACTTTGAAGTATTTCACCAAAAGAAATGAAAGCATATGCTCATAAGAAAGCATTTCAGAAGGTTTATGTGTAACAGCTAAAAACTATAATTATCCCAAATATCCACCAGCAAGTGAATGGATAAACAAGTGGTGATGTAGCCAGTCATACAATGGCTACTCAGCCATAAAACAGACCCAAACAATTCACACACAAAACAACAGATAAATATTAATCTCAAGAGTTGTTCTGACAAAGCCAGCCCCCAAAAGGGCAGTTTCTCAGAAAAGCAAGAGTGCAGGATTATCAAGGAGAATGAAAAAAACTTTGAGAACACCAAATGGCTTTATTATCTTGAATGTGGTCACAATTTTATAAGTGCATACATAATTTAAAAAAACCAATGTTGACTATCCTCAGGCCTCTTGGGGTAAGTCTATAGCGCAGCTCTCCGCGCCTGGACTCCCTAAGGCCTCATTCACCCTTTCACCCCACCCCCCACC